AAACGAATTGGAGAGGGCTTTAAGACGAATGGGAGGCCTCTGAGAACTTCTATATCAATAGAAGAACTGTAATACATCCTATTTCAAAAAAAAGACCTCCCAGCTCTTCTATACGAACGGGGGACTAAACGAATTGGAGAGGGTTTTTAGACGAATAGGAGGCCTCTGAGAACTTGTTTATCTATAGAAGAACTTTAATATATCCTATTTCAGAAAAAAAGACCTCTCAGCTCTTCTATATTGATAGATATATAGACCTCTATATCGACAGAAGACCTAGGATACCTCCGATATCGTTAGAATACTTTTATATCCACAGAAGTCATCAGAGGCTCAATTTTTCAACAGAAGATCTCACAGACCTCCTTTAACCGCAGAAGACCTCAGGGTCCTCCTATATCCACAAAAGACATCAGGGCCTTATCTATCGTTAGAATACCTCCAAGGCTTTCTATGTGAGAAGAATACCTCTGAGCCCTTTTTCTATCGATATAAGAAAACCTTTAAGGTCTTCTGTGGGCTTCTGGGACCTCCTATAACTTCTACCGATATAGAAGGCTTCAGATGCCTCTTCTTGATATAGCAGAACTTAGATGACTTCTATTCTATGGATATAGGAAACCTTTAAGCTCTTCTTTGGACTTCTGAGACCTCCTATAACTTCTACCGATATAGAAGGCTTTAGACGCCTCTATTGATATAGTAGAACCTAGGCGACTTCTATTCTATGGATATAGGAAACCTTTAAGGTGTTCTGTGGGCCTTTGAGACCTCATATAACTTCTTCTACCGATATAGAAGGCTTTAGATGTCTCTTCTTATTGTAGGTGGACTCAGATGACTTCCATTCCCCCCACATCCAACCGTTTACTTCCAATTGCTGCACATTAGATTTTGTGATTTGTGAATCATTGTTCCCCTCCCCCCCCACCCTGTAATAAAAAGTAATTCCCTTAATGATGGCGGTGGCGTCCACATGGCTAGACTCATAACTCCTCTTTGAAGTATTCAATTTCAAATAAATTCTCTCCTTTATTCGCTGTTGGCTGGCATCAGACCGGTTAAGGCAATGAATCTATGATTCCATGGCTTGATGAGGATGTTAATGATGGCACCAGACAACAAAGACTGGAAAATAGATAATAAACGGACAGACGGAGGGACGGACGGACGGACGAACAGATGTGTTGACGTTGGCCAGATCATGGATGATTGCATAGTTCCGAAACAGATAGATAGACAGACAGACATGGACAAACAACATTGAAACAAAAAACACAAGTTCAGCTGTTTTAGTTGGAGCTTGGTCTCCGTTGACAATGTATGCTTCCATGCGTTCGTTCCTCCATTCATTCGCTCCGCTCATTCATTGTCTTCCCTTCATTTTTTGGTAATCTTAAAATAAATTGAAATTCTTTCCTGTTTTTGTTTTCCTTGCTTCGTTGTCGCTGTTAATTTGACAACAAAAAGAAAAAAGAACTTCGGCTGCATTATCAGCTATCCAAGTGCGGGAGGCTAGGCGAAGTGCCATTTCTTTGTTTCCCACTCAGACAACAAATAAATTTGCTCGCTTCTGAGTTTTGCTTTGTTGCTGCAACTGTTTTTCGTTTTCTGTTTTCTTTTATTCCTCATCTACCGTTTGCAATTGAAAACGCAATGCCCGCAAATCTAAGGTTATTGAATTCCCACGCCCACACCCAATCTGTCCTGCTCTTATCGCCTTTAACTCTGAGGAGTTCATTGTATGATTGTGGTTGGGTTTCTTTTTTTGTGAGGCTATTAACAGATGGCGCCAAATAGTTTTCCATGGCCAGAAGAGCCTGAAGAGGTCTTCTAGGGGTAGAAGACCCTTAAGAAGTCTCAAGAGATCGAAGACCCACAAGAGGTCTTCTTGAAGAGAAAATCACCAAGCGGTCTTTCGTGGTTCGAAGACTCTCAAGAGGTCTGCTATGGATTGAAGAGCTTCAAGAGGCCTTTTGATGGTTGCAAGATACTCAAGAGGTCTTCTATGGATAGAAGACCCTCAGGAGGTATTCTATATATGGAAAGCTTTAAATACGTCTTCTGTAGATGAAAAACTTTCAAGAGGTCATCTATGGATCGAAAACCTTCAAAAGGTTTTCTATGGATGGAAGACCTCTCAGAGCTCTTTTACGATAAAGGAGACCCTCAATAGGCCTTTTGTTGATAGAAGACATTAAATGGATAAGGATTGATGAATCTCAAGAGCTCCTCAATGGATAAAAGACCGACAAAACGCCTTCTATGGATTAAAGACCCTTAAAAGGTCTTTTATGGATAAAAGACCCGAAGAGGTCCTCTGTACATAGAAGAGCGTCATTAGCCCTTCCATGAATATAATATCGTCAAAAGGTCTTCATGGAGAGAGGACCCTCAACAGGTCTTCTATAGACAGAAGACCCTCAACAGTTCTTCCATTGATAGAAGACCCTCAAGTAGCCTTTCGAGGATGGAAGACACTCAAAAGGTATTCTATGGATAGAAAACCCAGAGGTCTTCTATAGATCGAAGACCCTTAGGAGGTCTTCTATTGATGGAAAAGTCTCAAGAGGTCATCTATGGATCGAAAACCTTCAAAAGGGTTCTATGGTTGGAAGATTCTTCAGACCTCCAAGAGGGCTTTCAGGGTTGCAAGATACTCAAGAGATCTTCTACGGATGAAAAACTCTCAAGAGGTCATCTATAGATCGAATATTTTCAAAAAGTCTTCAATGTATGGAAGACCCTCCAGACCTTTTTACAATAAAAGAGACCCTCAATAGGCCTTCTGTGGATAGAAGACATTAAAAAAGTCTTCTAGGGATTGAAGACCCTCTAGGGATCTATGAATAAAAGACCCCGAAAAGGTCATCTATGGATTGAAGACCCTCAAATGGTCTTCTGTGGATTCAAGACACGAAGAGGTCTTCTGTAGATAAAAGAGCGTCAATGGCCCTTCCATGAATATAATATCCTCAATAGGTCTTCCATGGAGAGTGGACCCTCAAGAGGTCTTCTATAGACAGAAGAGCCTCAACAGTTTTTCCATGGATAGAAGACCCTCAGGCAGTCTTTCATGGATGGAAGACACTAAAAAGGTTTTCTATGGATAGAAACCCCTCACGAGGTCTTCTATAGATCGATGACCGTCAGGAGATCTTCTACGGATGGAAAGCTCTAAATACGTCTTCTATCGATCGAAAATCTTCAAAAGGTTTTTTTTATGATTGGAAGACCCTTCAGAGCTCTTTTACGATAAAAGAGACTCTCACTAGGCGTTCTGTTGATAGAAGACATTAAAAAAAGTTTTCTACAGATTGATGACCCTCAAGAGGTCTTCTATGGATAAAAGACCACCAAAAGATCTTTCATGGTTGGAAGATACTCCAGAGGTCTTCTAGGGATAGAAGACCCTCAGGAGGTCTTCTACGGATGGAAAGCTCTAAAGACATCTTTTATAAATGATATACTCTCAAGAGGTCATCTATGGATCGAATATTTTCAAAAAGTCTTTAATGTATGGAAGACTGTTCAGAACTCTTTTGCGATAAAGGAGACCCTCAATAGGCCTTCTGTGGATAGAAGACATTCAAAAAGTCTTCTAGGGATTGAAGACCCTCTAGGGATCTTTTATGAATAAAAGACGCTCTAAAAGTCATCTACAGACTGAAGACCCTCAAATGGTCTTCTGTGGATTCAAGACACGAAGAGGTCTTCTATAGATAAAAGGGCGTCAATAGCCCTGCCATGGATATAATATCCTGAAAAGATCTTCCATTGATAGAAGACCCTGAAGAGGTTTTTCGTGGATCGAAGACCTTCGAAAGGTCTTCTATGGATATAAGACCCTCAAGAGGCCTGCTTTTGGATCATAGACGCTCAAGAGGTCTTCTGTGGATCGAAGGCGCTTAGAGGTCTTCTATGGGACAGAATGACGTACTCAGTTCATAGAAGATCTCGAGAGGTGTTCTATGGATTGGAGATCTCAAGATGGCTTCCGTGTATAGAAGACACTCAAAAGATCTATGGATAGAAGACACTCAAAAAGTCTTCTATGAACAGAAGACTCTCATAAGATCGTCAAGGGATAGAAGGCCTCATGAGGTATTTTATGGATAGAATATCCTCAAAAGAGTGGTTTGTGGATAGAAGAACTTTAAGAATTTTTCTATGGACAGAAGACAGAAGTCTTCTATGAAGGATAACAAAATCAAAAAGTCATCTAGAGATAGAAGAACCTCAAAAAGTCTGGAGATCTTCTAAAGGTCTCAAACGGATAGAAAACCCTCAAGAATTATTGTTCGTATAGAGGACCCTCAAGAGATATTCCATGTCTCGAAGACCCTCAAGAGATCTTCTAAGTCTGGAAAACATTCAGGAGGTCTTCCCTAGTTCGATTAACCTCAGTGCTGCCGGCAGTGTCTTCCTTTACCAAAAATGCCGTCCAGAAGTTTTTTTTTTTTTTTTTAGATTTCCATTTTTACTTCTCATTTTAAATAATCCCCATTTCATAAATTCAACATTCCTCTAAGCCATGTTGCATGTAGCCAGACCCTACTGTATGTTTTCCCCCACCCCCCTCTCATCATATACTTCTCTCCAATATGAATGACATGTTTCGAATTGTTTCTTTATTTTCGAAAGATTTTGAGTTTTGTTTCAGCATTATAACATAATTATATTCTGAATCTCTTGAACCACCACCAGTCAATCAATCAATCAGTCAATCCTCCCCTCCACATCATCACCACCAACAAGAACAAAAAGATTGCTTCCTCCAGACATGATCCCGCTCAGAAAATCAAAAATCATTATTTTCAAATAAAATCAAAACTCAACTCAATATCTAATGGATTTCCCTTTGAATATCTTTTTCTAGATTTAATAAAAGCTTACAAAGAATAAACTTATAACAACAACAATTTTGAAATACAACAAAACTATAATAATAGCAACAACAAGAAAAAGAACAACATCATAGCCCTCGGTCGTCGTCGTTGCCGTCGTCGTCCTTGTCCACTCTCTTAAATGTTTATCCAAAATAATTCAAATTTCGATAATAGCAGTGCTGCCGGCAGTGTTGGTGGTGGTGGCGGAGGAGGCGGTGGAGGTGTAGGTGTGGCTGCCCACAATGCCCTCCTGGTAGATGGTGATGGCAGTGGAGGTGGTGATGGTCTTAGTAGTAGTGATGGCAATGGTGGTGGTGGTGGTGGCATCGTCCTTGGCAATGGCAGTGACAGTGGTGAGGGGGTCCTGCTGGTTGGTGGCAGTAGCATAAGTGTTAGCGGCGGCTCTGTGGAGGCCCACAGCGTGGGCGGCGACAGCAGCCTGAGCACAACTGCCAGCGAGGGTGGCGGTAGTCAAGAGTTAATCTTTCCCCTTAGATCGTCATCGCGTTCCAGTGATCCACAACAGCTGCAGCAGCATCAGCAACAGCGGGAAAACAACAATAATTCCAATACAAAACGTTCGTTCAATCTGAATCTCAGCTTTAGCAACAACAACAATCGTAAACTGTTGAGCGTTGGTGGGGTCAGTGGTCAAAGTGTGGTTGGCGGTATTGCCGGTGCTGCCGGAAGTGTGGCCCAGTCGTTTTGGAGTTCGGTAGCCTCGAATGTCTCAGCCGCATCGTCCTCCTCCTCATCGTCGTCGTCGTCGTCATCATCGTCAATAACCTCTTCGGCTTCACCCTCGGCCTTGGCCTCATCCTCGACTCTTTCGTCGGATGTTAGTAGTACCGGTGGTGGTGGCGGAATCGGAGCTAGTGGCATTGGTCGCGGTCCCGGTGTTGCCGGCATCATTGGTGGCGGCGGTGGCATTGGCATTGGACCCGGTGTCGTACAAAGGGTGTTCCTCAACACAAAACCAAAAAACAAAACCGATTTGAATTTATCGCTCTGTGCGGCTGCCTCAGGTGGTGGTGCAGTAAATATCTCCAATTCAGCAGCAGCAGCGGCGGCCTCATCGTCGTCATCAACCGTAGCGGCTGTGGGGAACAATATTTTGAACGTTCTCGAGCGTAAGGCGGCAACGTGTATCTACAAAATGGATGTGGACTCCTCCGATGAAAATGGACCTGTAAATATTCCAAAAAAAACCAAAATGTTTTGAAAATTTCTCTAAAATTTTTGTTATTGCTTTTGGCCTTTGTTTTCCTTAACTCATGGATTCTTTTTAACTCACTCACCGATCCACTGTCATCCAATCTAATGCCATTATCATCATGATCATCATTAGCAACATCATCAGAATTGGCTGGCCATGATAAACAAGCTTTTAATTCGCCGGATATTCAAAGTTTCGAACAGAGAAATAATTTAACTAAACTAAGGCTTCAGATTTCAAACTTAAAAAATATTTTGAATGTCGTTTCAATTAGAATTTTTAACGAAAAAGAAAATGGAAATTTAAAAACTATTTTCTGGAATGTGAATCTTCACTTGAAAATTGAAAGCAAAAGTATTGGAAATTTCGAAAAAGATTTCTGAATTTCGAATTTCTGAAATTTTAATATTTTTTTTTTCAAAATAATACGAAAGTTCCTAATTCAACTCAAATAAAATTTACAGCAGATGCACTCTTTAGGTCACACATTCCATTACCGATCTTAATACCTATTTTATGGTTAATTTGTTATTTATTTTAGTTTTAAAATTAAAAATATTTTTGTAATTATTTCACTTCAATAATTTTTCGATTCTGTTTTTTCTTCTTCTTTTTTTGTAATTACAGCAAACATTCCTCAACACAAACGATAATGATGATGAACTTATTAAACAACTGCCAAAGGAAATACTATTACGTATATTTTCATATTTGGATGTGGTTTCATTATGCAGATGTGCACAGGTGAGTAATATCTTTTTAATCAAATTTTAACATTTTTAAATAAATTTTTAAAGTTTTCAAAAAATATTTAAAAATATTTTTATAAATTTTAAAATATCTTTTTTATAATTTTTTCTTTCTTTCTCCCAAATTTAAGGTCTCCAAATACTGGAATATCTTAGCTTTAGATGGATCCTGCTGGCAGAAAGTCGATCTATTTGATTTTCAACGTGATATTGAGGTATGTCCACACACTTACAAATTTGAACTCCAAATTAATTTTCTTTTTTATTTTTATTACAGGGTCCCGTCATAGAGAATATATCCCAACGCTGTGGAGGATTTTTAAAATTTTTATCGCTACGTGGTTGCAAATCTGTGGGCGATCAATCAATACAGTAGGTGTCACTTGAATGTAGACTAATGAACAGATCGACAACGAAACACTGAAGAGCAGAAGGTCTTCCCATAAAAGACCCGAAGGTTTTCATCTAGAAGAAAGAAGGTCTTCTCATAGAAGACCCGAAGGTTTTCTAATAGAAGACCCGAGGGTCTTTTTATAGAAGACCCGAAGGTCTTCTCATAGAAGACCCGAAGGTCCTCTCATAAAAGACCAAGAAGGTCGTCTCATGGAAAACCCGAAGGTCTTCTTATAGCACGCCAGAAGTCTTCTTTTAGAATACTAGGAGTTCTTCTCATAGAAGAGCAAAAGGTTTTCTCACAGAAGAACAGAAGGTCTTTTCATAGAAGACCCGAAAAATGAAGATCTTCTCATAGAAACGCAGAAGGTCTTCTCATAAAGGAGCAGAAGGTATTCTCATAGAAGAGCAGAAGGTCGTCTCTTAGAAAAGCATAACGCCTCATCTTAGAAAGTAGAAGAGCTTCTCAAACAAGAGAAGAAGGTCTTCTCATAGAAGAGCAGAAGATCTTCTCAAACTAGAGCAGAAGGTCTTCGTGTAGAAAGCGGAAGGTGGTCAGAAAGTGGTCTTCCCATAGACGACCAGAAAGTGGTCTTCTCATAGAAGGCCAGAAGGTGGACTTTTTATAGACGTCCAGAAGGTGGCCTTCTTATATAAGAGAGAAAATCTCCATTTTAAAATATCCAGTGAAAACATTTCGCCAGTCTCCTTTTGGAGGCTAGAAGGTCTTCTCATGGAAGACGAGTAGGTCTTCTCATAGAAGACGAGTAGGTCTTCGAGGTCTTCTCATAGAATACGAGTAGGTCTTCTTATAGAACACGAGTGGGTCTTCTCATAGAAGACGAGAAGGTCTTCTCATAGAAGACGAGGAGGTCTTCTCATAGAAGACGAGGATGTCTTCTCATAGAAGACGAGGAGGCCTTCTTATGGCAGACGAGTATGTCTCCTTATGGAAGGCCAAAAGGTCTCCTTATACCACACCAGTAGAACTTGTAGATTTCCTCATATAAGGCCATTATGTTTTATCGTAGAACATCAGTACGTCTTTTAATTAATACCAGTGTATTCTTTATTTTAACAACATAAGATCCTCTGAGAAGAATTATTTCTTCCCTCTTAAAAGACCATTAGCTCTGCTCGTAGGAGACTCACAAATTCTCCATTTTAAAGTATCCACTCAAAACGTTTTGTTGTTGTGCATTTTCATTAATCTTTTATTATTTTTATTATTATTATTATTATTATTATTATTATTATTGTTATTATTATTATTACTATTATTATTATCATTATTATCATTAATTTTTTGTTAAATTATTATTCCATTTATTTATATACAATTTTTTTGAATTCCATTTTTCTCTTGCAGAACTTTAGCCGACTACTGCCACAACATAGAACAGTTGGATTTATCGGAATGCAATAGAATAACAGATATATCGACCGAATCGATAAGTCGCCATTGTTCAAAATTAGCCTCCCTTAATTTAGAATCATGTTCTAATATAACCGATAATAGTTTAAAATATATTTCGGATGGTTGTCCGGTAAGTAAATTTGAAAACTTCTAGACATATATTTAAGTTCTGTATTTGTGATATGCTTAAACATAATTTAAAACAAGTAAGCAAAGGCTACAGTCGAGCGGGGCCGACCGTTGAATACCCTACAACACTATAATAAACGATACAGTTTATATAGGCGAGATACTCGAAAGAATTCCACAAGATATTGTGACAAATAATAAAAGAAAACCATCAGGTTTCGTTCTCTAATTTTCGAATAATAGCAACTTAAACTAATTTGCTCGTTTCAAATTTATTGGTAGATGTTGCACGTAAATGGTCTTCCTAGATCTGGAACCAATATTTCCAAAAGACCCATAGTCTCTCAGAAGTGGCAAAAGATTAACATTTATTATTGGCTTTTGATTTTTTTGAGATACAGACATTTGACTATATTCTTCCACGAAATCAGCGTTAACGAAATAGTCAGAAGTGCGTCTTTCCTGTATTTGTGAATTCTCCATAGAGTCACTGGAATGGAGATTTTCGTATATGGATGGCCATCCAAAACTGCTTGGCTTTTGCAATGTGCGGTAAACCCCATTCAAAAGTGCGCGAGGATCGGGCGATAATTACGACCTGCTGACAATGTTGCATTTTTTTGGTCCATTTCAACTCCTAAATATATGGCGATCATCTCCAAAAAGAGTAGGCTTCTATTCTTACCCTCATCTTATCCCCATGCAAAATTTCGTAAGGATCGGGCCATAAATGTGATCTGTATATGATATACTGATATCGTAACTACTTAGTTTTGTTAGCTGTAGAAATGTTTAATTCAAAATGAAAACATGCCAAAAATATGACAAAATTGAAAAAATATGAGAAAATTTTACAAAATCAATATTTTCATCTTTATAGAGATATTTTTATGCGATTTTTAAGACGTTTTTTCTTTCCTGCCAAGAGGCCATTCTGAATTAATGAGAACTGTCGAAATCTGTTCAGCCGTTCTCGACTTATAAGAGATCTTTCAAGCATATCTTCTTTGATAGACATATATATCGCACATATTTTGCTATATATCCGATTTGTTGGATGTAAACATCAATGTAAAGATCAGGAGTAACCTTGTCATGGCTTTGTGATTTCGCGGTTTAATGAAAAATTTCGAATTTTTTCAATACAAAAGATATAGTCCATTTTACCCGCTAAATATAATCCGATGACCACCCAAATCGGTAGGCTTCTTCCCCGCCCTAAACTCTAGCTACATGCGAAATTCCGTCGATTGGTCTATAAATGCGACCTGTATAGCTACTGCAAAATCCGACATTTTTTTAGTATTTGGTCCACTTCAACCCCTAAACATTTGGCGATCATCTCCAAAAGAAATAGGGTTCTATTCTGACATTAACCCCACCTCCATACTAAATTTCGTGAAGATCGGGCCATAATTGCGACCTGTAGAGTGATTACAAATTAACATGGACAGACGGACAGACGGACAGACGGACAGACGGACGGACGGACATACATAGCTAGATCGACTCAGCTCGGCGAGCTAGGAAGATCCATATATACTTTCCTATGTGGGAAACCAATATTTCGTGGTGTTACATAATTTTTGGCCCAATCAAAGTTATAATACCCCCAACACATAGTGTTGTAGGGTATAACTATGGGTTCATATTATACCACAATCCGTTTATTTGTGCCACTTTGGAGTTCAGGAGGATATACACTTGCTTGTGTTAGGTTGAAAAATTAATAACTAAGTAATAGAACAGAAAAAAGTACATGCAGTCTTAAATTAATTGAGCCTTAAAGTCTGTGCCTTTTAAGTTTGGGTACTTTGATATCACCATCCCCAGTATCTCATTATAATGGTCTGTTCCAGATCTGTAAGAATGTAAAAGATAACCGTTTTCCCTTTTTGATATCGAAAAAAATCCAAAACTAGTAGGTTCTTGCAGGAGATGAAACAGAGCATAAGTTTTTTCCAATCTTTTTTTTTTTTTCAAATGGGACTTTTTTAGACTAAGGCTGAAAAATATTTCCACAGTTTTTCATTACCAATCTCCGATTGGTAAGATTATATTTGTCATTGAGAAGATTATATTTGTCATTCCTCTGGCAACACCTCGTTTGTATAATAAAAAAATCATTCGGCCATGGCCTATATAAGATTGGCCAATAACCCCATCTGAAAACTAATTTTGCTGTCAAAAAAAATGTTGTGATTTGAAATTCAAATAGAGTCATATCAAAATTGTGCAATAACTACCAAATGTATTGTCAAATATGTAGGCTTATATAGGGTTTGGTTTCGATGTGTATCTTTAAATGATATAAAAATATATCCAAAGTATTAAAATTTTCAACACAAAACCATGAATTATAAATTGTGTTGTACGAACGCGTTATATCGTGTATACCATGTTCTCAGTGGTAGTTCAAATGCCAATCAGAACATGGTATAAGAATTGATATTTGGGTTGCGTAGCGTATGAGTAATAACAATTATAAATCAAACAACTCATTCGCATTCAAGGCTATTCTTGAACACATACATCATCATTGAATGGTGAGTTGGGCCTTGAGGTTTGATAAGACCTGGGTTTTTAGAAATTCGTACTAAAAGGGTACGAAAAGTACTTAAATTAACTAAAAATTCAATAATTTGTATTAGACAAACGGAATGATGTAGAATTCTAAAATTCAAAATAAGAGTCACTGATGGAGTGTAGAATAGATTTACCAAAATTCGAACTTTAAGGTTGCGAAAAGTACTAAAATGTACTAAACTTCTAAAATGTTACCATTTGGTATTGTGTGAACAGATGGAGCCATGGTACAATGAAGAGAAGGTAGGTCAACTTTGAAAAAATTGCAAGTATAGAGGTCTACCTGTTTGGCTTGTAATGTCAGAATTAGTATCAAAACAATAAAAAATCAAACAACTTGTTGCATTTATTTTGAATAAATAATTGAAAAACGCGATAACTGAATGAAAGGTCAAAACTTCTTTTCAAAATCATGTACTATATATCTCTAAAGGATTATTTCGCTACAAAAACTGTAGATTTTGTAGATGCATACGTTGAAATAAACATTTTGAAAACTCCCGAATTTGAATATTTTCTGAACAATTTTTTTGTTATTGAAAAGAAAACACATACATAAACAAATAAAGATGACATATTAAGCCAAGAAAATAAAAAAAATTGAAATCATATGGTAGTTCTGCCCTATCTTGAATTCATTGTACCATGGATGGAGCTAGAAACTTGAAATTTGGTATCAGGGTTGGAAAGTAAGTTTGATATACGAAAATGGTTTTAGAAATGTGTACTAAGTGCGCGAAACGTACTAAATGTAGTAGTAAATTTGGAACAGTTTTGTTTAGGATGTACGGATGAAGCTGAAATATTGAAATTTTGTTTTGGGGTCCCTGTTGGTGGTAGGTTCGTTATAACGAGGTGGTTTTGGAAAAGTATTAAATAGTACTATCTTTGGTACAATTTGGGATTGGGTAAACAGATAGTGCCTGAAATCTGAAATGTGGTATTAACGTCGCTGGTCATGTGTAACCGCTGGTCATATGGAGGTTGCTTCGGAAATCTCCACCATAATTGACGAAAAATACTAATCATGGTACCATAATTGGCATGGGGTAAAGGCATAGGGCTGTAATCCTCAAATTTGATAGTGGGGGCTCTCTTGGTATCTGGAACTGAGATATGGAGGTGGTTTGTGAAATGTGTACTACAATTCTGATATTTGATATATACGTCACTGTTGGTGTCTGTGGCTAAAACATGGAGGTAGTCCTGGAAAAGTGTACTATAATTGTTCGAAAAGTACTCTCGTAAAAGAATCTGAACTTATGAATGGGTCTTCTTCAGTCCTTAATGGATTTCTACATTAACAGTCACCATTCAGTCTCTTATTAAAAGCAACCAATATTTCTTCAATCATAGGACACCTACCCCTCAATTTTGGGAACATGAAAGATGCCAGGGCTGGGTCAATTGGAATAGGCATTAATTGGGATTTTATACCCTACACCCCCAGGTGGTCAGGGTATTATGTCTTTGTGCATTTGTTTTGTAACAGGCAAAAGGAAACGAAATAGACCCATAGTTCCTTTTTTAATGATCTGCTTAGAATCACATTCTGAGTCGATTTATGCATGTCCGTCCGTCCGTCTGTCCATGTATTTTTGTAAACAAAGTACAGTTCGCATTTATTGCCCTATCCAGATGAAATTTTGCACAAATCATTTGTTTGGCCCATGGACGAACCCTATTGAAATTGGAGATAGTCGGTCACAATTTAGATATAGCTCCCATATATATCTTCGTCCGATTTGCCTTTTATTGTGCACCAAACGTGTAATATCAGTCCGAATAGTATGAAATTTCGCACGTACGATCAGATTGGACCTGAATAAATTAGTATGCCAAATTTGATCGAAATCGGTTCAGATATAGCTATAGCTCCCATATATATTGTTCATCCGATTTGTTATTTTTGTCCTCCACAGCCGTAATATGCACTCTGTAGCAACAATATTTGGGGAAATATATCAAATATAGCTCAGAAATACATTTGCTAAATTTTATCGAGATCGGTTCAGATTTGGATATAGCTCCCATATATAACTTCGTCCGATTTACCATTTATTGTGCACCAAACGTCTAATATTTGCCCAAATGGGATGGAATTTGGCACTTACAACCGAATTGAGTCTAGAAGCTAGTATGTCAAATTTGGTGAAGATCGGTTCAGATATAGGTATAGCTCCCATATATACCGTTTTGTTATATTTGTTACCCACAGCCGTAATATGCACTCCGTAACAACGATATTCAGGGAAATATATCAAATACAGCTCGTAGCGTGTATGATTAAATTCTCCCATAAAAACTTTTAATTTTTATGCGAAGCTCTACTAAATTAGCAAAGTGGTGTAGGGTATCTTAAACTGGGCCCCGCCCGACTTTAAGACTTTCTTTACTGGTTAGACCTACATATATTTCACATTGGGCATTTATAGGCATTTCGACCTATATTTTACTTTAAAAAAATCATATTTTATCCGCTGAACCCCGTTCCCAAGAAAATGGAACCATATCCTTGTGAAAGTGAGATTTTTCCCTTATTCTCATTTCAATCGCTACGTTCTTTCCCAAGTCCCACAAAAACCCCTATCTTCATTAATTTGCATCAAAGTGATTAAGAAAATTGCCATTGATTTTTTTTCATTTTCCCTCTCCTTTGTTGTTGTTTGGGGTTCTGGCATTGCAGTTGAAATTTCATTTTGTAAATGTAAGTTGTCATTGTTGTTGTGGCTGTGTTATATGCCATTAAGTTGTTGTTATTCGTGTTGCACCACCAGCCAAAAGAATTTTTGCAATCTGTCTTTGTTGTCTAAATTCGTTTGATTTTCTTTCCTTCTTCACTTTTCGCAATATAAACAAACCTTGGATGGCAAAAGAAAAGCGAGAAAATGAGAAAAATAAAATGAAAATAAAAATGTATTTGAAAAACAAGCCCCCTTTTTTTCTTTTGTTTTCTGTTTTTCCTTTTTTTGAGGAAAGCAACAAATAAAAATGCATTGAGGCCTAAAAGAGCGGACATTTTGCAATTATTTTTTTCTTTCTTTCTCTCTCTCTCTCTCATTTTTCAAAATATCTCAAGAGCACGCCAGATTTGTATTATGTCCATTTGTTTTGATTTAGATATCCTAGCTGTTACTTTGACCAAGTGTGCTATTGTAGTTTGCTTTGATGTCCTTATTTCGTGACATCTCTTTTTGTTGTCTTTTTTCTCTTGGATAAAACACACACATTATATTGAAAATATATATGTGTGTATGTGTAGATGTTGGCCTACTTTGGCCAAGTGCCCTCGTCTGTAAGTCTGTAGTTTGTTATTGGAATCCTTTGATATGCCCCCATTTGAGTTTCCCCCTTCCATTTAGGGGGAGAACATCAAAAAACAACACGAAATCTGAGAGAGAATTTCATGCTCTCAAAAGTGTCCGTGTGTATGTGCAATAATAACAATAATGGCGAGGTCAACATTTTACATAAAACCCGAGAAGTAGGTATAACCGAGTGATACATAAACTGCAATAACCTTCCGTAAGCCTATTTGTTTGTTACCCCACACACGGACTATCCCTCTCTATTTTCCTCTCTCAGTACTTTTCTCTATGGCATGTGTTCTGCCCACACAACCATAATCATGCCCTTTACCTTCGACTTTCCGTCGAAATACTGAGCGACCAACAATTATGTTTTGAACTTTGTGTTTGTCGTTGTTGCTGTTGTTTCTCTTTTGGAGGAGTGGGGGGAAGAGACTGTTTTTACATTGGCCCATTTTTAGTTGCACTGCCTTTACACGGTGACATTTTTTAACCATGCAATTTTTTTTTGTTGGTAAAAGGTGTAGAGAGACAAGGATAGAAGAAAAAATGGCACGTTAAGCCACGGCACAGGGTTACATGCCATTTTCTTTGCATTTCTCTTTTTGCTTCTTCCGAATTTTTTATGATTTTGACAATTCATATCGTTTCTTTATTGTAATTTTTGATGCGTTTCTTTTATTGTGATGTGATGTTTTTAGTCATTGAATTGTATAGTGAATTATATGAAAATTAATTGGAAGTATTAAAAAGTAAAAAAAAGAAAGTTAAAATAAAAGTTAATAATGCAATATTTAACACATCAATAACTTTTTCCATAATTTCTCCTTTAGATTCACACATTCAATTTTAAATCACTTCTTTATAAATATCTGTTACAAACAATTAGCTCTATACGAAATACTGAATAAAATAAAATGTCAGAAAAAATGCCATGCACTATTATCGAAAAATGCCACCGTGTAAAGGCGCGAAGATTTACGCAGAAATTTTAAAAGAGAATTGATAAAAATGCCAGCTAAAAATTGCACCGTGTAAAGGCAGAGTTGTTGTTCTTTTATTTGCAATTTCTATGGCTGTATTTGTAAACATTGCACTATTGCTGCGCCCCATTGTGATTATGGCAAATGAGTTTCTTTTCTTGGGGTGGCAGTGGGGCGATGGGCAAAGTCAAACAAATTCATCTCTGTTGCCATCGAGAAAAAGAAGAAGAAATGTAACAGAGAGTGAGAGTGGCTGTCTTTGCTTAGCCTTCCCCCTATCAAATCAGCTGTTTAATTCATCATCTACCCACATTTTGTTTGTTGTTGTTGGTTTTTTTTTGTTGCCATTTCAATTGGAGATTTTTTTATCAATGAAATTTCGCTGGAGACAAAGGAAAGGTCTGGGGGACGGGGGTTGGTTATTTCAGAAAAGAGGTCAATCCCAAAGTGGCCTGATGGTTATTTTTTCCTTTCAATAACTTAATTAGATTTTGTTGACATTTTATGCTATCGAGAGAAAAGCAGAAGAGGGGGTCTTTTACAGAAGACCTGTAGATAAATTTCTATTGGTCTATTCCAGAACTGCAAGAACGACAAGTTATTACTAAGATAACCGATATTTCCTCAAAGATATTGAAAACCAGTAAGGAACAGCCAAAACTCGGGCGGGGCCGACTATATGATACCCTACACCACTGTGCATATTAAATAGAGCTCCCGTAATAAAAAAATGTATTTAAAGCAGATCATACCACCTATCAACATTAGGCTTTAAAGCAGTTATAGTATGGTTTCAGAGGATGATAATACAGGGAAAGTTTTTTTTTTAATTTTATTGAATGGAAGCAAAATATTTCGGAAATAGCATCAAATTTTAGAATAAGTTTAGATTTGTTCGAATTGGTCACCTTTGGCACGAATTATGGCCTTCAAACGGCCAATGAAACCGTCACACGCTGCCTGAATGTTGCTCTGCGGTATTTTGGCCCATACCCGGCAAAGCGCTTGCTTGAGGTCCTTGACACTTGGTATTTTTAGTGCCAATCTTGCTTTCCAAAAAACTCCAGACACAATAGTCCAACGGATCGGTATTCGGAGATTTTGGTGGCCATTGTGCACTGGAAATAAAGCGAGGAACCTCATTTTGTTACCATTCTTTGGTGGCGCGTGCTGAGTGCGATTGTGCTGAGTCCTGTTGGAAAGTCCAAGGTCTGCGGCCAAAATGTTTGCGTGCCCAAGGCTTTAATACACCCTCCAAAATATTTTCGCGATAATATTCGGTATTTATTCTGATGCCACAGTCGATTAATAAGAGCGGAGAGCGACCATCGGCTATTATGGCGGCCCACACCATCACCATGGCCGGCGCTTAAGTTCTGGTGACCAACCGATGTTGCACATTTTCAGCTGAAATCTTTGCCTGCTGGACAACGAATGTTTTCTCATCGGAGAAAACCAAATTCGGCAGTTCACCACTTTCGGCCAAGCAAAGCAACTCTTTAGGTCTTTTGAGTCTATTTTCTTTCTTTTGCGGTGTAAGTTCTGCACTTTTTGGAACCATTTCGAACCATTTCTGCTGATGTTGCTGTTTTCTTCCGTCAACTTCCTTGACGTCGGGCTACGCTACCAGTATCCCGATAACGAGCGATGGTACGAGACACAAAATATTTATTCACATTTAAATGCTGGAGTGCTCTAACGATAGCCACTTGTGGTTTTCCAGCCAAATTTAAAGAAATCACACTATCACGCTTGAATTCGATCACGGATAACTTTTTTTCTGGAAAATTCTCACCAAAATGCTTTTGTACGTTTGTAAACAATATAATGAGCTGTCACTGGAATAATTTTAACAGATGTCGGACTAGTGGCTTAGAAATGACAGCAGTCTGAATTTGGTTGGAGTTTTTTCATCTCCCTGTACAGGTATTGGGACAGAACATATGTTGTGAAGAAGTCTTCTAAATAAAGATGACCTTCATAAGAACTTCTGTAGGGGGGAAACATCTTCAAAAGGGTAGCTGACATTCAAAAATTTTGCTATGGGCCAAATGATGGGTTCTCCATTAATATTTGTTATTTTGGAGGGCTTGCTACCCCGAAGAAATCTCAATGTCAATTTTAAGTCAATTACATAAAATAACATGGCCCCGACGTAGTCAGGAGGGGTCTTGGGCCCCAAGGAAAACATGTTTCTAGATATTTTTATAGAATTTTGTTTAAAAATCTAAATTCGGTTGGGACTCCCGACATGGCTTCGAAATGGCTCCTTCGGTGCTATGGAATATACCAAAACGTGAACCTATATTGATAACACTGTGCTGTCTTTAGAGAAAATCATAATAAATCCATTCAGATTTAAGACATTTTTTCGGTTACGAAATTCGATTCAAGCAGCTGTTCCATTCCCCAATTCCAGAGTTTTAATTAAAATATTACAGAGAATTTTATTTCTTTGTTTATTTAATATTTTTTATTAAATTCCCACAATTTTCTCATTTCAGAATCTACAAGAAATCAATATATCATGGTGTCATTTAATAACGGAAAATGGTGTCGAAGCTTTAGCACGTGGTTGTAAGCATTTGCGTAAATTCTGCAGCAAAGGTTGTAAGCAGGTTAATGACAATGCCATAACGTGTTTGGCCAAATACTGTCCCAATCTCATGGTGCTCAATTTACACAGTTGTGAGGTAAGGGCAAATAATTCTCAATACCAATTTGAAATAATAACCAACCTTTATTCACTGTTTCAGACCATCACCGACTCATCGATACGACAAATCGCCAGCAATTGTCACAATCTACAGAAGCTGTGCGTATCCAAATGTGCCGAACTGACCGATCTATCACTGATGGCACTCTCCCAAAACAATCCATATTTGAATACTCTCGAAGTGTCGGGCTGTCGTAATTTCACCGATCTAGGCTTTCAGGCATTGGGTAAAAATTGTAAATATCTGGAGCGCATGGATTTGGAGGAGTGCAATCAAATAACCGATTTGACGCTGGCACACTTGGCCACCGGCTGTCCAAGTTTAGAAAAATTGGTGGGAGGCAATACTACTTTACCAGCGAAACGAATAGGTTTTAACATTTTGCTTTGTTTTTTGCAGTTTCTATCGCACTGTGAACTGATAACGGATGATGGCATACGTCAACTGGCAGCTGGTAGTTGTGCAGCGGAAAGTCTATCCGTCCTCGAATTGGATAATTGTCCTTTAATCACTGATCGTACATTAGAGCATTTAGTTTCTTGTCATAATTTACAAAGAATTGAGCTATTTGACTGCCAACTGATAACAAGAGCAGCAATACGCAAACTAAAGGTAAAGAGGGGAAATTGAAAATGTCGAAGCGTTAACAAGAAATATTTTAGTAAATCCCTTTGTGATTGGGACAATTCGTTAAATATGTCGAAGAAGTCCGCTTTAAAACCTAGTCCATCAGTTATAGAGGAAGTTTATTAACGCATTTAAAAAATCTCCTTCTAGTCTTCAAAAATATAATTTGTTTCCTTAATTTGTTTCTCTAATAACCTAAAAGACTTGTTTTTCTTCTGTCTATTTCCTGGTCCCAAAAAGCATCTTCTGACTAAAACTTAATAGAATTCTTTTATTTACCAAGCAGTTTAATTCTAAACCTTCATGGACCAAACTTTAAGAGATACCTTCGTTTGTTGCATATAAGTCTCATTGTTTTCTCGTCTTTTCCCTTGTTTACAATAGCTTCTTTTTGACCAAATAAAATAGTCCGCTACACAAATACGCAAATTCTATTGTATTTAGTTAAAAAGCTTCCTCTTAATCATCCCTAAAAACCAGTAAAGAAAGTCTTAAAGTCGGTCGGGGCCGATTTTATGATACCCTACACCTTTGCTAATTTAGTAGAGCTCCACATAACAATCAAAAGTTTTTATGGGAGAATTCAATTATACACGCTATGATTATAATTATAATTTAAAGTTCAAAGGGCTAAATATGCCGAAGCATTTGTGTCTTTTAAATTCGGACTTGTATTACCCATTTGGTGCACAATTAATTTGAAATCGGATAAAGATATATATGGGAGCTATATCCAAATCGGAACCGATCTCGATAAAATTTGGCAAAGATATTTCTGAGCTATATTTGATATATTTCCTTGAATATCGTTGTTACGGAGTGCATATTAAACCTGTGGGTAACAAATATAACAAATCGGATGAATAATATATATGGGAGCTATATCTATATCTGAACCGATCTTCACCAAATTTGACATAGCTTCTAGACTCAATTCGGTCGTAAGTGCCAAATTTCATCCAATTTGGGCAAATATTAAAAGTTTGGTGTACAATAAAAGGTAAATCGGACGAAGTTATATATGGGAGCTATATCCAAATCTGAACCGATCTCGATAAAATTTAGCAAATGTATTTCTGAGATGTATTTGATATATTTCCCCAAATATTGTTGTTACAGAGTGCATATTACGACTGCGGAGGACAAAAATAACAAATCGGATGAACAATATATATGGAAGCTATAGCTATATCTGAACCGATTTCGATCAAATTTGGCATACTTATTTTCAGGCCTAATTTGGCTGTATGTGCAACATTTCATACTATTCGGGCTGATATTACACGTTTGGTGCGCAATAAAAGGCATATCGGACAAAGATATATATGGGGGCTATATCTAAATTTTGACCGATTATCTCCAATTTCAATAGGGTTCGTCCTTGGGCCAAACAAATGATTTGTGCAAAATTTCATCTGGATAGGGCAATAAATGCGATCTGTAATTTGTTTACAAAAATACATGGACAGACGGACGGACGGACATGCATAAATCGACTCAGAATGTGATTCTATGCAGATCATCAAAAGGAACTATGGGTCTATCTCTTTTCCTTTTGCCTGTTACATACAAATGCACAAAGACATAATACCCTGACCACCTTGTGGTGTAGGGTATAATAACATCAGAATACATTTTTTTATTGATTTTATAACAGACTCTATCTCTGACAATTTTATCAAAAGCTTGATTTCAGAATGTCATTAAAGTCGGCCTTGCAGCAGACTCATTTCTATCTTTTAATAGACTCTACGGAAAATCATATCAGAACGTAAATTGCCCTTCTTAAAAAGTCTTTCTAGCTATCGCCAATAGAGTCTGTCTTATTGTAATCTTAAGAACTTCCTTTTCTTCTGCCCCTTTTTTAATCATCTTATAAAGACCCTCACGAAATCCTTGCTCTTTTCTAGTTGTCTGTAAGAGTTAAATTTAATTGGTATAAAGATTATCTTCTTATTGTCTATGAAAGCTGCCTTATTGTTGTACTTGTTCTTTAAAAATTATTTCCTATCTACCATTCTACAAAATAGCTTCTTTCTTTCTGTTATCAAGATAGTCTTTATTAAAACCTCTTCAGAATCGTTTGAATGTAATCTATAAAGATCTATTTTAGTTCATATAGAAATTTTCCAATTCATTAAAATTCTTTATTTTATTTTTCCGTAATATCCTTTCTGGTCGTCTTTCAAAATTCTTTTGAGGAAATCACTTCCAGAAGATCGTCTACTTATCTTACTTCCGATGAACTCAATTAAAAAGTGTAGCGTCTAGTCATCTCACAAGATGGCTTCTTTTATAAAGACCAAATAGACTTCCTACTAGTTGTCTATAATGACAAAATATAATCCAAACAAGGACTACCTCTAGTTTATTTCTAAAGCCTACCTTCTTATTGTTTATAAAGATGTGCCTAGGGTCTGTTGAAAAGAATACTACCTAGTCGTTAAGAAATAACTATTTTTCTATGTTGTAGAACATTGTTACGACATTCTTACAAACGTCCAATTGTCCTGTTTCTAAATCCGCTTTTCCATACCATATAAAATATGCCTTTGGTTGTCTAAAGAAGACGACTTCTCTAGTCAAGCAAAATCTCCTAGTGAGTACAAAAAAAATCGCATATTAATTATAAGTGAATACTCTTATAAATTCGATGTTTGACTTCTTGGTAAGGCCTCCCTGAAGCCAATAAAGTCTTCTTTCATTTAGCATAAAATTTATACCTAAACTTGTATGTTAACACTCCCTGCTAAAGCTGCTTTTTAGCGGTCATTGTTTTTCAGCTCGTCCGTTTATACAATTTTTTTTAAAGTTATATAAACCCTCTGCTTTTCAGCTACTCTGTAGGGATCCCTGCTTTTTATACCCCCGCCATAGTATGGAGGATATATTAAGTTTATCATTCCATTTGTAACACCTCGAAACGAAACATTTTAGACCCCACAAAGTATATATATTCTTGACCAATATACAATTCTATGTCGATGTCCGTCCGTCTGTGGAAATCACTCTAACTTCCGAACGAAATGAAGTAGGTTGATAAAATTTCACTCAAATGTATAGTATGTCTGCAGGACTTTTGGTATGGGTCATGTAAGTCCACGTTTGTGTATAGCCCCCATATAATGGTATCTTCCTATTTTCGGTATTTTGCTGATTTTAGCGTCATTATTCGCCGGATTTGTTTTAAATTTGGTATTTGAAGTTCGTAATGAATACTACAGCATAAGACAGAAAATTGTGTGTGCAGGTCCACGTCTTCGTATAGCCCCCTATGTACCGGCACCTCCCGATATTCGGCATTTTGATGATTTTAGCGACATTATTCACCGAAACTGTTCAAAATTTGGTATTTGAAGTTCGTAATGGATACTACAGACTATGACAGAAAATTGTTTGTGCAGGTCCTCGTCTTCGTATAGCCCCCATATAACGGAACCTCCCGATATTCGGTATTTTGATGATTTTAGCGACATTATTCACCGGAATTGTTTCAAATTTGGTATTTGAAGTTAGTAATGAATTCCACAGCCTAAGACTGAAAATTATCTGTGCAGGTCCACGTCTTCGTAAAGCCCCCATATACCGATATTCGGTATTTTGAGGATTTTAACTACATTATTCACCGATTTTTTTTCAAGTCTCACATTTGAATATTGTAATGGCTTATGACAAAAGTTGCCTATGGATGTCCATGTCGTCGTATAGACCCTAATATAATGGCTACAATCGCTATTTTTAAGATGTTAACAGCATTTTTATTTCTTTATTTATTTTGATTTTATTTTAGTTTTGCCAAAATTGCCAAATTCATTCCAAATGGTGGAGGGTATTCAAAAAGGTCGCCCGGCCGAACTTACAGCTTTTTTACTTGTTATGCTTAGAAATAAATTTCTGACTACGTCGGTGCAATGTGCAAAATACTTTGTTGTAGTCTCTTTTGCACAGAAAACACGTGTTTTGATACTTTCAGGATGTAGTTTCTTCTTTATTGGATATTGGATTAAAAATATTCGGAATTTAATAATTTCCATAGGTTCTCTTATATATAGAAGGCTTCCAATAATTCTTGTATCTGTTTAAAATCACATTTTGTCGATCTTCCTTAATTTTTTTACTTCTTCGTTATTGAAATCCCACATATTTAGAAGATCGGCTAAGCGTTTTCAATTTTCATATAAATTATTTCACATTATCTCCCAGCCCATTGATCCTCATTCCATTAAAAATTATTTTGAAATTAATTTGTTTCTTCTTCTTGTTTTTCCGTCCTGCTTCTTCTTTCAGCAACATTTACCAAATATTAAAGTTCATGCGTACTTTGCCCCAGTTACACCGCCACCAGTTACCACTGGACAACGACCACGTTATTGTCGATGCTGTGAGATTTTGTGAGATTCGGCCATTGGCTTTGCGCGGAAACTGCTGTGCAAAGGCCCCACGGACTGATGGTATATCTTTTCGACAATTATCCTGATTATCTTGACGATATTGGTGGCATCGCTTTTGTTGGTACATGTGTTCGCTGCTATTTATAAATTGAATATTTGAGTTTGGTGGCAGATGGCAAAAAAGAATCCAAAGGACAACATCAACAAAAACAACAATAGAAACCATAATGACAACAACAACTACAACCTCTACAACAAGCAGCATCAAGGGCGTAGGAAATTTAAAAGGATTTTTAGATTTTACTTTAGCAACAACAACAACAACAATATGTGTTTGTTTTCTTGATAGCAACAGTAAAAACAACAACAATAAATGTTATATTATTTTTTTGTGGCTAATTGTGAACAACAACAACAAGAAAAGAAATAGCAATGATATGTAAAACAAATCGAAAGTTAGAAAAAAACCCAAACAATTGGAAATTTATAAAATTTCAAGATAAGAAACGATAAACACGAAATTTACATACGATATCCTAATACTAACCACAAGAACCATAACCACCACTACCCACTCACCCCATATGTATCTCTCTCTTTCCCCCAACCCCTCACAACTTGTGTAAAAGAAAATCAAAATATTTTTCTTAGAATTTATGTTTCGTTTTATGTTTTTAAGTTTTTTTAAAAAAAAAAGAAAAATTAAAATAACAACATAAGAAACAAAACGTAAAAAAAACCAACAGCAATTTTTTATATACGATACCAGAAGATGAAAAAAAAAACAAACAAAAAAAATTGAAAAAAAAATGTTTAACATTTATAAGATTTTTTTTTAGTGATAACGAAAATGAAAAGAAAAACAACAACAACAACATATATATGAATATTTTTAGATTTTAATTTTACTTTTTTCTAGGCAAGCTGTAATAATTAATACATACCTTACACACATACATTATGTTAAAAACAAAACAAAAAAAACTTATTTCTTTCTCATTTTGCAATTTATAACATCATTAAATACTAAAACAACTATTTAAAATTTTATTTGAAGTTAAAAATTCAAATTATGTGACGTTATTTAATGATTTGTGTATATGTGTTTTTTTTTATAAATTTTTATAAAAATTTTATCGATTATTGTTAATTTAATTTTTTTATTTAAAAAGAAATTTTAAGAAATATATTAACCCCTTTTCCTAACAACGAATTAGATTATTAAAATATATTTAATAATTTCATAAACCCAAAACAATCACCCATTTTTTTAATTGAAGAAAAAAACAACAGTTGTCAGTCTTGTATCCAACACCTTAACGAAACCAATGTAAAGGATTACTTTTTGAAGGAATTTTTTCTGTAAAGATGTCAAGTAGATATTTTATATTTAACTATTTTTTTGAAATTTGTCAAACTTTTAAAATCTTTATCACAAATGTGAGGTTATGAACTTATCAATACATCCCTTCACTTCAAGGTAAAACATTATATGACGATATTTGCAATAAGACATTTTGGAAAGCTTTCACATTTTTAAATTACTTTTCTTCCCAAAAAAAATACTTCTTTATAGGAAAGGAGCAACAATAGGATATAAAGTGTTTGTTTGAGATGTGATATTCGGAACAAATCTTATGTGCCCTACTGGATTCTACATTTGAATTTAATGATATACAAATATAAAAAGGCACATAGAGAGCTTCTTTAACTGGCATAAGTCATCGGTTGGCTCCTTTATAAATGAACAAAGGAGTTTTAGGTTGACTTAGTTCGATTTTGACCATAGTTCTTTTCCCATGGTAGAAGAATACAAGTAGATGCATCAAAGCATGATGAGAACATTGATATGTTAAAAAATGTTAAATGTTTCTTCAAATATAAGTAGATTTTTATATATTTTCTTTTACAACGACACTCGAAGGTTGTTATAATTCGCGTTTTCAACAATTTTTACAAATTTAAATAATTTTTTATTTTGTTGAATTTTCGATTCCAAAATTGGTTCGATTCCAAAAGTGGTTTGTCTCAGCAGCTGTGTCGATGCGTCTACCCATGGTACAATAAAAAGGTAAGGTAGAGCTCCCAGCTGATTAACATTTTTTTCTAAGTGTGCCCGACTTCTGCCAATTTTGTGTCTGTATTTGTTCTTTTAAAAAATAAAAACAAAATATTTTCAAAATCAATGGTTGGAAGAAAATTAAATTGTGGGGCGCGCATTAATAAAATTAAGCAAATTTGCCATGAGATTGAAAGATTGAACACTCAGGATCATATTTTTGAGAGAACATCCAGGCATTTCATTCATCTTTCGCGCTATTTGACTCATTTTTGAAATGAACAAAGATATCAGATAAATGAAAAGAACTTGTTGCCTATCATTTTTAATAATTCTGACAGGAAGCGGGCATAGCCTCAGGGCTGTATTTCCATGCCTCTACCTATATTCTTCTACCATGTCTTTTCCGAAGAAGCCAGCCTATGACTTAAGCCAGTCAAAATAGCGTTTTATATATTCTCACCTTTACTGTATTTCAGCACCACGTTAGATTAGATTTTCTAGTTTAGTGTTTGAAGCAGAAGATAAAAGAGACCCCATACATACACTCACAGTTAAGGTGGGAATAAATAAAGTGCTTATCTGGCTGGGTTAAGTCATCGGCTAGCTTCTTTGGAAATGAACAAAATAGCATAGGGCCAAAATCAAATTGAGTCAACCTAAAACTCCTTTGTTCATCTACGAAGAAGCCAGCCAAATGCGCTCTATGTATTTCCACCCTTAATGCCAATATTTCGAACCGAATTTGTTGTATTTCGAATTCTCGTTGGATGAAATGTTGACCAAAAAAACTTTTCAATATCGAACTGTTTTTGACTTGTCTAGTGGCTCCCTCCACCACAAGGTGTATCAGGGTATTATGTCTTTGTACATTTGTTTGTAACAGGTCAAAGAAAACGTGATAGACCCATAGTTTCTTTTGATGGTCTGCATAGAATCACATTCTGAGTGGATTTATGCATATCCGTCCGTCTGTCCACCGTCCGTCGGTGCATGTATTTTTGTAAACAAAGTACAGGTTGCATTTATTGTCCGTTACAAATGAAATTTCGCACAAATCATTTGTTTGGCCCAAGGACGAAACCTGTTGAAATTGGAGATAATCGGTAAAAATCTTCATCTATCTTCATCCGATTTTCCTTTTATTGTGCACCAAACGTGTAATATCAGCCCAAATAGTAAGAAAATGTACACATACGATCAAATTAGGCCTGAAAATAAGTATGCCAAATTTTATCGAAACCGGTTCAGATATAGCTGTAGCTCCCATATATATTTTACATCCGATTTATTATTTTTGCCCTCCGCAGCCATAATATGCACTCTGCAACAACGGTATTTGGGGAAATATATCAAATACAGCTCAGAAATACCTTCGCTAAATTTTATCGAAATCGGTTCAAGTGTGGATATAGCTCCCATATATATCCTCGTCCGATTTGCCTTTTTTGTGCACCAAACGTGTAATATTAGTCTAAATGAGAAGGAATTTTGCACTTACAACCAAATGAGGTCTAGAAACAAGTACTTCAAATTTGGAGAAAATCGATTCAGATATAGCTATAGCTCCCACATATATTGTTCATCTGATTTGTTGAAATTGTCCTGCACAGTCGTAATATGCACTCGGTAATAACGATATTCAGGGATATATATGAAATACAGCTCAGAAATAACTTTGCCAAATTATATCGAGATCGTTTCATATTTGGATATAGCTTCCATATATATCTCTATCCGATTTGAAGTAAATTGTGCACCAAATGGGTAATACAAGCCCGAATTGAAAAAGCACAACTGCCTCAGAAAATTTAGTAGAAGTCGATTCAGAGGTTCCTTTGGACTTTAAATTATAACTGTAATCATAGTTTGTATGATTTAATTCTCACAAATTCCCCATAAAAAATGTTATTTGTTATGTGAAGCTCTACTATGTCTTTGATGCAAAGTGGTGTAGGGTATCATAAACTCGGCCCTGTCCAACTTTAAGACTTTCTTTACTGGTTTTCATCTCAGTTTGAATTCCGGTTGGACTTGCTCACCTTTTAATTTTAGATATCTTGAAACTTTTGAACATAATTTTTTGTAATCTGCATTAAATTTACTCAGTAGACGCCAAACCTTCTTACAAAAGGTGTGCTTACCTTTGCTTGTTCTCCATACGCTCCTTGTTCTTTTACGAAGGAGCTAGCTGAAAATTAAACCCATTCAGTCGGATACATGAAGTTTATATTCATTTCTGGCACAGTACTGGTGGATAAAAATGCGAAAAGTTTGCAGAACATTTGGAAACTATTTAGCATTTTGTATTAGTTCCGGTGAATTTTCTCTATTTTAAATGTTCTAAATTATTTACTTGCGATATTTTTGTGACTTTACTCACCTATAGATATATCTGAACTCGGATGCATATCAGATATTTGAAAAATAAGTTGCAATAAATTATTAAATTAAATCTAATACAAATGTTTAAAAAAAATATTTCCTAATGAGGCAATTCTTAGAATGACGAAATATTGAAAAAAATAAACAAAAATTATTAATTATTTCAATTTTCTTTTTTTAATTTTGTTCAAATCTGTGGTGTACTTGTTCCAAAATCCTTCAAAGATTCTCCAGGAGTTTTAGAAAAAATAAATTATTTATATTCTTAAATTATATATATTATTTATATTTATAAATTAATAAATTACTGTTATTTTTTGTTTTTGAATACAATGCTAGGAAATGCTTTCTATTACCGATAGTAGAACTTTTTAAACTGAAACTGATAGATTTGCTATATATGCTGATGGCTACCATTGGTTAATCACCTTTTGGAAATAACAACCCTGGTCAAAATCAATCTCTTAATCAATCGTAAATGAGAATCACACCCACTTCTAGCCTTCCCCAAAAATCATCATAACCATCTGTAGAGAACAAGATGAAGTTAGGTCAATGAGGGAATATCCAAGACTTAATCAATCAACTGATTAAAAAATGTTAACCCATTTCGCTCCTTTGTACGATTTTTCGAACCCCCCTAAATGGTAGAGGTACATTTCTGAAATCCATATTTTTGGATACTTTTTTTTAAATTAACTTAAATAACAAAAAGTAATAAATGGAAAAAGTAATGATGAGGATTTATTGCCAATATATCTAACCCATACACTAATTATATAAAAAGCAGGGTTTGCATGCACAAGCGTGACTTGACATATATGTGTAAATATGAC